ATTCGGAAAGAGCAAAGGAAAAGGATTCGGAAATCACAAAGGATTCAAGGGCAAAGGATTGAAAGGAAAAGGAAAGAGCAAAGGCAAAGGAAAAGGAAAAGGAAAGGACACAGGATGCTTCCTGTGCGGGTCACACGACCATTGGGCCAGCAATTGCCCAAAAGCGAATACGCAGGCAGCCCTTTGGAACATTGAGGAAGGATCATGGAATGAAGATTGGAACGCAGATTGGAATGAGAGCTCAGGAGAGAACGCAGAGAGTACGGATTGGTCTGAATACCAAGGAGCATTGTTTGACGACCCCTCTTGGACTGAGGACGATTGGTATGGAGATTGGTGGTATGATGACAGCTATGATTGGTCTCAGGATTGGTCGTGGTCTGACGATTCGTCGTGGTACTCAGCTGATTGGCCTCAGCAGGCGCAGTTAGCATTGCCGCCGCCAGCTCAGCCGATTGCACCTCAGGCAACAGCAGCCCCCGCTGCACCCATTGGTCAGGTTCAACCGCAGACTGCAGCAGCAGTCATTGCTGGACCTCCGCCAGGATTGTCACCCTCTGATCAGATTGCTAATGACAGTCTCATTGCCTCAAGCAGTAGCAGCTCGAGCAACTCGAGAGGCTCAGGCATTGCACGTTCACGCCCAGGTATTGCCAGCAAGTTTTTCGTTGGAGCATTGATGTTGTTCAGTGGCTAATTTAGTGTACAGCAGTCTGCCAGGGATGACATGATCAGTACGCACCTGGTGGGTGTCGGCCAAGTCCTGGTGGATCAGATGAAGAATTCCTGCACTGCGGGTTTTAGTATCCAGGGAGCTGTGCAAGTGCCAGTATCCCTGGGCCTGCCACTCGCTGGTAAAGGTCCAGTGGGTCTCCTGGATGGATAGTATGTGGATCGGTCTGCCTTGAAGGGCTTCCATATGCATCCAGACATATACTTCATCGAGTTTGGCGGTGCTGAGGCCGCCCGCGTTCCAGGAGATGGCTCGGTACCTTTTTCGGGGAGGTAGCAGGCTCTGGCTGTGTGGACAACTGGGCTTGAGCATGGGAGTCAGGTTGTCTGACAGTGTCTGAGTGGTAGACCTGGCCTTTGTATCGGGCAGTTCCCGTGGTGGCAAGGCGCTTCAGGAACCTCGCGTAGGAGCGTTTCTTGACCGGAGAGGATGGTGCTGCAAGTGGCGATGCGGCATCGCCTGAGGTAGGTAGGTAGTAGTAGTAGTAGTAGTAGTAGTAGTAGTAGTAGTAGTAGTAGTAGTAGTAGCAGTAGTAGTAGTAGTAGTAGTAGTACTAGCACTAGCACTAGCACTAGCACTAGCACTCGTGCTAGTACTAGTACTAGTTGTAGTGGTGGTAGTAGTAGTAGTAGTCGTAATAGTAGTAGCAGTAGTAGTGGTAGTAGTTGCCGGCTGCCAGGCCTCTTGGAGCAGGTAGCAGTAATAACTGACGCATGCAAACTTCTGGTGGACTTCTTTGCTCTTCAAGTCGTGCGCATAAAAGTGTGCAGCTGTAGGATATGGCCTGCTGGGCCGCTGGGCGCTACGAACCTGTGTCACCTGAGCTCCAACATTCCTTGTCTGGAAAATCTTTCTGCAATGCTGCTTTTCGCGCACCTGCCTCTTTGCGACTAGACATGTTTCCAACCGCTGGAGCTTTGACCTGTTCTTGTGAACGCGACTCTCTGTAGTGGTGTCCGGCTCTGATCTTGCGTGTGTCTTGGCATCGTGCGCTCTCTCGTCCTGGCCATGGTGCTGACCATGCAGGAGGTCCGCACCATGTCTGCGGTGGATCTTCGTGCGTGCTGGCTCGAAGGCCGCTCGGCACTTGTGGCTTCGTGCTGAGTGCCTTCTCGTGACCCTTGCTCGCTGCAAGGAGTGGCCGCTCGCCGTTCCGAGCGTGTCCTGGAATACGACCTGCAGGGTCGGTTGGTGAATCCACATGTCGGAAGCGCGTACTTCGGACGCGGTCTCCGTGCTGCGTCATTCTACGCAGCTGCGCTTTCTTCGATCGGGACGGCGTGGCCTCGTGGCCGAGTTGATTGCTCTTTGGCTCATGGAAGAAGCCCGTTGCCTTGTCCTTGTGCTGCCCTCTGCATGCTCAGGCGCCCTTTCTGGTGGAGTTGCTCGTGGAGCCCACGCCAGCGCCTACCCTTGACCATCCGGCCACCTGATGTGCGAGCCCTTCGCAGCTTGCTACCTCCGCCTAACCCTTTGCCACATGAGCTCCTGGTCTTGTGGGTGGAAGCTGGCTCTGCCAAGTTACTCTGTGTCTTGCGTATTTGCGATGTGCTGCCTCTTCGCAGGTTCGCATGCAAACGCTGCGCTACGCGGCCGCTTGCCGTGTTGTGATTTTGTCTCAGGCCAACGACATCTTTGGCACAGTCGCCATCTCTTGGAAGAGCTGTACGCAGAGTGTTGCCGCTTGCCTTGTTCACCACGGCGTTAGGGGATTGCCTTTGTTGCCTCGCCCGTGCTGTGGTTCACTGCAAGCGACCGGCGCAGCATGTCCGTACGGCACTAAACATGACCCTCTCGACGTGGAATGTCACCAGCCTGCGCAATTGGGACAGCACATCATCGTCTGTCAAAATCAGGATGATTGCAGCGCTCCTCAAGGGCCGGTTTGCCTACAGAGACTAAACTGAACGGCAGCATGAGATCCTACCAAGCTTTGTGCTGGCGGCTGAGATCTCGCATTTCAATCACAAGTGCGAGATCTTGTCCGTCTACGCACCCATAGCGACTCACTGAAGTTGCCTCTGCGATACAAAGCTATCTTGTCAAGAAATGCAGGAATCTTTGTCGCCGGCGACTTTCAATGGTCCTGACTCTCTCTGGGGAGGGTGTTCCAGGTCTCCACTCTGTAGTAGCTACGAGGCTAGTATCGAGACATAGGGTAGAATTCGATACTCGGAGGGTCTGTCGATTTTGAGGGCTGAAGGCCGTACGGCTCGCAATCTTAGGGGCTCCAAAGTGCTTGCAAAACGGGCGCGGGCGGCATCGGAAGCAGTTTGAGGGCGCGAAGGGGGCTCGCGAGCTGTTTGGAAGCGCTCCGTCGTGCTCCGGAGCTGTTTGAGGCGCGATGCGCGCTTGCGTGCGCTCTGTTGGCGCGGAGGGCGTGGGAGCAGCTGGTTTGCGGCTCGAAAGTCGCTCGTGAGCTGCTGGCGAGTGCTCGAAAGCTGCTGGGTTGCGGTTCGAAAGCTGCTGGGTTGCGGCTCGAAAGCTGCTGGGTTGCGGCCCGAAAGCTGCTGGGTTGCGGCCCGAAAGCTGCTGGGTTGCGGTTCGAAAGCTGCTGGATTGCGGCCCGAAAGCTGCTGGGTTGCGGTTCGAAAGCTGCTGGGTTGCGGCTCGAAAGCTGCTGGATTGCGGCCCGAAAGCTGCTGGGTTGCGGTTCGAAAGCTGCTGGGTGGGTTGCGGTTCGAAAGCTGCTGGGTTGCTGGATTGCGGCCCGAAAGCTGCTGGGTTGCGGTTCGAAAGCTGCTGGGTTGCGGTTCGAAAGCTGCTGGGTTGCGGCTCGAAAGCTGCTGGGTTGCGGCCCGAAAGCTGCTGGGTTGCGGCCCGAAAGCTGCTGGGTTGCGGTTCGAAAGCTGCTGGATTGCGGCCCGAAAGCTGCTGGGTTGCGGTTCGAAAGCTTCTGGGTTGCGGCTCGAAAGCTGCTGGATTGCGGCCCGAAAGCTGCTGGGTTGCGGTTCGAAAGCTGCTGGGTTGCGGTTCGAAAGCTGCTGGGTTGCGGTTCGAAAGCTGCTGGGTTGCGGCTCGAAAGCTGCTGGGTTGCGGCCCGAAAGCTGCTGGGTTGCGGCCCGAAAGCTGCTGGGTTGCGGTTCGAAAGCTGCTGGATTGCGGCCCGAAAGCCTGGGTTGCGGTTCGAAAGCTGCTGGCTTGCGGCTCGAAAGCTGCTGGATTGCGGCCCGAAAGCTGCTGGGTTGCGGTTCGAAAGCTGCTGGGTTGCGGTTCGAAAGCTGCTGGGTTGCGGCTCGAAAGCTGCTGGGTTGCGGCCCGAAAGCTGCTGGGTTGCGGCCCGAAAGCTGCTGGGTTGCGGTTCGAAAGCTGCTGGATTGCGGCCCGAAAGCCTGGGTTGCGGCCCGAAAGCTGCTGGGTTGCGGTTCGAAAGCTGCTGGATTGCGGCCCGAAAGCTGCTGGGTTGCGGTTCGAAAGCTGCTGGGTTGCGGCTCGAAAGCTGCTGGATTGCGGCCCGAAAGCTGCTGGGTTGCGGTTCGAAAGCTGCTGGGTTGCGGCTCGAAAGCTGCTGGGTTGCGGTTCAGCCGCGGCAGAACAGGACTAGAGGGCGCCCGGTGCAAAAACAGCGCGGCACCCCCTCTCTGGGCTCAGGTCTCGGGTGCTTGTGTGGACTGGAGTATTGAATCAGGGCCGCTGTCACAGTCAGGTATGCTTGGACTGCCGAAACGTCGCGGCATGCAAGCTTGTGATTTGATGGCAACTTGCAATCTCATGTGAGCACAAAGGTTTGGCTATGGCGTGCAGCAGGGTAGGAGGAGCACGCCCTTTGCCGCGAATGTGCGGGTCCTTGCTAGGCGCGGTACGCTGCGTCGTCACTGCTTCGGGTGCTCGCGGCTTCCAGCGAGTTGACGGTGTTGCCCCTTGACAGAGCCTCGGGTGCAGGCCGTGGCCTTGCACGCAGCCTTTGGCGAGCCTGGAGCTCACGCTCTCGACAGTTGTCACCTTCGAGGCATCACATAGACCGAGCGTCTGTGATCTACTTTGCTTGCCTCTCCGGTGGGCGCATCTGCAAGCCCAAGGCCGGCGATGCCTCGTGGCAATTCCAAGCAAGAAGCATTTCAGGCGGACCCAGCTCGCTCGGAAGGTAGGGCCGCAAGCCCAAGGCCGGCGATGCCTCGTGGCAATTCCAAGCAAGAAGCATTTCAGGCGGACCCAGCTCGCTCGGAAGGTAGGGCCGCGGCTTGGGCAGGCGGCTCGACAAGCTGCGATAATTCCGGTGGCTGCGGCCTGCATCGACTGAGACATCGAGCGAGCGGCATTCAACAGCTCAGAAAAGACCCACCTGCGCGCAGAATCCGCGAGGATCCCTGCAGTTGCGCCTGCCTGCTGAAGTAATATCAGCATGTTCGCAGACTTTGAGGGTTTCAGGCCCTTGACATCCCTCGGCCTCACTCTGCACGTCCACTACCAAAGCATCACACTGCCAAGATTCAACTATTGTGCCACAACCATACTGACATGCTGTGATAACCTGCAGTGTGTTGTAGAAAAAGATGGAGACTGAGTCCATGAAGAACTTGGACCGCGCCGAGTTGTGGTCCCCCTCCACCATGATGAAGTTCTGACAAAAAGAGCACGAAGAGGGCCGAGCCTGCGAGCCGAGCCTGCCGGGCCTGCCTTGTCACCAGCATAGGCAGAATGCAGCTCCCTGGCGTGGTGAGGCTTGATGAAATGGTCATTGTACCTCGACAACTTGGAGATATCGCTGAGAGTGTCGGAGCCCTCGAGTCTGCACGCGGCCGTGAACAGCGCGGGGATGAAAGACTTCGAGACATGCCTCCGGAAAGGCACAGCTCCAGACTTGGAGGTGCGCTCTTTCCAGCTTCCAGCAACGTTTCACTCTCAGCTTCTGGCTGGACAGGCGCAAGGTCGTAGATGTCAAAATCGGCATGTGCACTAATGGAATTGCGCACCTTGAAGTTCCACACTGATCGACACTGTCTTCGGCACTGGTCAAGTGGCCTGAGCCAGGTAAGTTCTGCACCAGTTGAAGAGCGATGCCGATGACCCCCCTGCCAGCAGGAGCAGCAACTCAGGGGCGACAATTCGTCGAGAAATCCCCGAGCCGCCGAGCCTTGCCTTGGAACCCGGCTGTTCGTGTAGCCATCCACCAATTCCTCGCAGAGGACCTCAGCTCCACACTTCACGCAGTGACACGTACGACAGGTATCGATTTAAATCCGAGAAAGGACTGTCCGGAACCAGGCCCGCGATTGAGGGATCCCCTAGTCGCAGGATGACTGCGCGGAACGTGACAGGGAAAGCGACAGCTTGCGAGTTTGCGAGTGCCACACGATCTGCATGAAGCAAAGCCGTAGAAGCACCCATCGACCTGCCCCACAGGCCTGGCAGTTAAGAGAAAGACGGAAGGAGACAAAAAGGCTTCACAGTCGCGTAATGAACGACTGCCTATGCAGGACACCCGGTTGGATTCCCGGAGGTGATCTATGACGACTGCAAGGTCGTCTCTCTCGTAGTAGCCAAGACTGAGGTACCTGCCGCGACGGTTCTACTTGGCGGAGAGGCAGGATGTCTAGAACCACATGTTGCGAAGCTACGCTACTAGCGCGAGCACTCGCCATCAGACAAACCGGAACCGGCGAAATCAAAGCAAAAGACCTCAATAATCAAACGAGCTCCTCTTCGACCGCTTTGAAGTTTGTAGCAGCAGATCTCAAACTCTCAGCTTCAAGCGGTAATGTTGAAGGGCAAGAGCGCCGGTAACGTGCTCACCGCCTATGGCAAGCACTAACCCAACAGAGGACTCATGCACATTGTCTCTGCACGTGCTGGTGCCTCGAGCCGGCTGCTGCAGTTCCCATGGAGATAAACCACGCACGGAAGCTTTCCCGCTGGCCGTTCCCTCGCAAAAGTTTCGGCATTTCTCATGAGGGCAAACTCACATCTCGTCTTGTTGACCCTACCTGCTGATGGGCTCGAAATGGCTGCACCTGAGTAGAACGGGATCTGAAGTGACTGAGGTGGTATAGAACCGAAACAACACATGCAGCACCGAGTCGTGAACACGATCGTCAAGCCGCGAAAGTTCTTCAAAGAGATGTCTGTCCGCTGGAAAGTTTTGCTCCTCGGCTGCATGTAAGCGTTTCGCTGCAAGGTCCTGTAACTACTCTGAGCAGATTGCTCAATGCTGAAAACTGGTGGCCCCAGGTCCTGACAAGGCCGTGCCAGCAACCCAAGTGAGGGAAGACATGAGACTTTGCATCACAGGCTCTCCTTCCAAAACTCTGAAAGCTGAAACACAGAGACTGCTGACAGACAAATCAAAAACAAAGAGTTGCATACCAAACATCCACAAAGCCCCTCAGCCGGATCCTTGATCTCATAATGATCGCGTGGAGGTCGAATGACCGCTTTCCAAAGTTCCGTGTATTGCCTCATTCAGAAGGTCTTGCATCGTCGCAACAGAAGCCGCAGAGCACACCTCAAAAAAGACTAGCATCTCTAACCCCAGGACCCCACTCATGGATCTTGCCCAGAAAGTTCATGTCACCATGATGCTGTGGACGGACGGCGCATCCGGTGATTCACCAGCACCGTTGACTCTTGAAGCAGTTTACATGAGTATGTCAAATCTAGCACAAGCCACGGCTGCATGTTTCAAGCTTGTTCTGCGAGCAAGATTTAACACATTTACAACATGCTTCTGGTCATCAGAAAAGAGGCTAACTCAATCGTTTTCGATGGATTTCAGGTCACATTTCGAGTTCGACGTACAAGCGGCTGGCGACCTCCTGCATGATGACCGGATAGCTAGGGATTTATAGCGGCCTGGCCCATTACAGCCTCGTAAGCAGCTCACCATAGACTCGTGCCGGCATCTTAGACCTAGAAACCCTTCTGTGCCTTGCCGCGAGGATGATCGACGCTTGCAGACCTGTGCCGTACAGCCTTCGGAGCTGATCGGAGCCAAAGGACTACAATGACTACAACCGCCATAGCGCACATTTTTTTCGCTCGTCAGGATCGAGTGACCGTGAGATGAACTTTCATCCTTCTGATGAACTCCCTTCGCCTTCCATTCCAAACCCCATCTCATCTTCCAAGCCAACATCCATGTCCATGTCATCAAAATCTGCCGTTTCTTCCTCTCCAGACTCTTCGACGTCATCAAAGACAAGCTCCTCTTCTTCAAGCTCTTCTTGCAGTCCAAGCGGATTATCTGCGAGAAGCTCTCGAAGTCGACTCGGCTTCATATCAAAATCATCCGTGGCACTCGCAGTGGCACTTCCGCGGCATGCTTCGAACAAGTCGCGGGCTTTCACCAGAGCAGGACCCAAGGTGTCGGGCGCCCAATTCTGCAGAAGACTTCGATGAATTGCCCGGATGTCCACGGCAAGGAGGAGGCATGAGTCAGGCAGCTGCTCTGCATCCCAAAAGCCTTTCTGTATGAGATCACGAGAGATGTCGCTTCCATCTTGTGCCTTGCGGAGAGCTTCCAAACAAGCTGAATCCACAAACATCAGGTAGTTGGGATTGACGACCGGCACCAGCTGTACTGTTGCCCTGTCGATCTCCTGGTGTATGTATCTACCTTCGTAGTACTTCATGAACTCGTGCAGGTCAGCTTCCATGGTGTCGTTGCCAAGTTGGCACTCGATTTCAGAGTCGCAGAAGGAGCACATGCATGGCGGTGGCCACCACTGTGCAGCCACAAAGGCTGCAGCTGCATGCCGAACGTCCAGGCACTCGTCATCGAGGCGAGAGAGAACAGCAGGATATGTGTCTGGATGCTTCAACATGTCCAGGGCTTGCAAACCCTTGATAGCTTGGATTCGAAGACATGGCTGCCGATCTCGCAACCGGCGCTTGATCGCTGTCGCGGCTTCTTGATCCTTTCTTTCGGAGAGCCGCACCGTGGCTGTGATAGCGGCAAAGCGTACGAACACAGACGTGTCACTGAGCATGCCGAGCACTGCTGATCGACAGGTCTGCCGAAACTTCAGACTCAGACGATCTGTATCCTTGGTCCCACCTGCCGCAAGTGTCACGGCCTGAACGCAATCCAATCGTAGATCTGCGTCTGCACCACTGAGTGCCTTCAGCAAGTAAGATTGAACGCCGGAATCAGCCAAACCGATATACTGTCTTGCTAGAGAGAAAGCTTGCCTTCGAACACCGCAGTCCTTATGCTCAAGGAACTCAAGAACGACCACCTTCAGTGTTGCTGTACCTTGCGCAGCCACAGCATGCAATGCTCTGTTTGCGGCAGATATGGCGCAATGCCACTGGTCCCCGAAACCTTCGATGATGGTGCGAATTGCGGCATCATCACTAGCTTCACAGAGATTTCCGAGCGCCTCAATCGCATCACTTCGTACCTCTTCGCTGCGGTCTGACTTGCCACTCCAAAACGATATCTTCGTTCGACCGCCACAAAACGGAAGCACTGCAGCAACAGCTTTGGAATCACCTCTGCTCGCAACGAGAGAAAGCGCCTTCAATGCAGCACCTTTCTTCTCGACACCCTTGGCAGCTTCCAAGATGTGCAGAATGCTGTCCCTGGCGCTCTCATCGCCTCTTGAGGCAATTTGCGGCAAGTACTGCAAAACGGCTTCATGCATACTTGCCCTCTGTCGACTCAAGCGGTACAGGAGCGTCAGAATCCCTTTCTTCGGCACAAAGCCCTTCTTGCCCAAGTCAACGAGGCAATCGAGTGCAGAGCGACGCGAGTCTGAACCACAGGTGTCAAAGTCTGGGCGGCGCTGAAGACAGGACTCTGCAAGGATGGTAGCCACACGATACTTCGTGGTGAGGTCTTTCGTGGCAAGAGCAGAGATGAGCCTGGTCGCAGTAGTTCGAACTCTTGAGCTTTCATCGGATGTGAACTCGATAACTTCCTCGAAGGTGTTTTCATCAGGGCAGAGCTTTGCAAGGCATTCCAGTGCCGCACTGCGGGTCTCCGCATCTCTTGCCCAAAGCCCACTCCGAATGCTAGGCAAACATGGAGTCACGCTCCCCAGCTCCTGGATCACGATGTGAGAGCTGCCCAAAAGAGAATGCCACCTCTCGTCCAGTGGCGGCAGTAGAGCGTGAGCACTCTTTGCATTTCGGGAAGAGCTGGTCGAAAAGACGCAGTCATCATGCAGGCACTCTACTAAGCATGTGTCGTCATCAGGCGTGGGGTTGCCAAGAACCCCCTGAGCTCTACCTCTAGGATCGGCCTTGACCCAAACTCCACGTGGAGCGCTTTGATCTAGGTCACTTGATACTCCGGACGTGTACACTGGCTCAGGCGACAACTCACTGAGCTTGATGCGCCAACGGTACTCGCTCCAATACATCACGGCACCATGCTCGTTGATGTACTTGTGGTGCTCATTCACGATGTCGACAACTCGATACTTTCCATTGATGTCCTCCCACTTGGACTTGCTGACAATCTGGCTAGACTTGCCCATGCCCATGATCCACTTGCCGTTGCACCACTGAGTTGTGTGGCCCTCCACTCCATCTGCACATGAGCATGCCGCAAGTGAATGGTAGAGCACTGCACCGGTCAGACGATTGTGGAACACCTGCCTGTGGGACCCAGGCCCATGCCTGTAGAAGCCATTGAACCGTGAGTCAGCAGCTCCTGTCACGAGCAAGGACGGCTCACGTCTGCTACAGCGAAATCCGACGCCGCTGAATTGGCTCAAGCCTGCACGAACCCGTTCATCGAGAAAACGATAGGCTCCTGCATTGTATCGGTCAGGCTCCTTCCTGTTGTGCAAACTCATTGACCAATGGCGACTTTTCGGTTCGAGCCCCTCCTCCTCCTTCTGGAGTTTGGCCTTCTCCTTGGCCATCCACGCAGCATCAAGGCATGGGAAGAGATGCTGATGCATTGCTTTTTGCCACGCTCGGCAGGCAGATCTCAAGTGGAAGAGGAGGAACATCTGGTCCGATCTGCTTCTTGAACTTATGAAGTTTAAGTAGAACACATCAAAGGGACAAAGGAAGGACCTCAACAAAGATCCCAATGCACCATCGAAAATTGTGGCAAAGCAGGCATTCGGTCCGCAGTCTGCGTCTGTGCGCCTCCTCTTCGGCTCTGGCTCAGGGGATCGGTCGCACAGGCCCGACCGCACAAACTCCACTTCCACATCGCAGGCCTCTTCCTCCCCGTCCATGTGCACACGGTAGGTGCCGTCTTTGTTTTCAGCAACGAATCTGGCCTTCCCGAACTCCACAACCTTCACACGCTGTCCAGCAATCAGGTCTCGACCGGGGTTGCTCTTCTCGAAAACACTGCATATGCGGTCTCTGGGCAAATTGAGACCAAGCCGTCCATACCCGTCGAATTGGATGTCGAATGTCTGGTTGCCATTGTCTCTGGCAACACTCCCAAGACTCCAACCGTCAAGCTCTACCTCAAGTTGGTCCCCAGCTTGAAATTGTGGTCGCACTTGAGCTCCCCCCAGTGGCATGACCCCATATGGCACGACTCTTTGCACAAACAAGTGTGAGTTGATGAAGCTGCTGCAACTGAATTCGCAGGTGGTGCACCCCCAAACTTGGGGCAAACCTGGAACGTTCACTTGCACAGATGCTTAACATGAAACACTGAAGTGATGAATTCTGCGGAGCATGAGCTGAAAGCCAAACGGCACTATAGCAACTAGGGCATTCGCTAAACGACCCGCTTGACAAACCGGGTGTTCACCAACATCCGTTCTCTTCATGTTTCTCTACAATCCAAGGAGACGTCCTAGGCGACGCGAAAGCCTCCCAAAAAACACGATTTCCGCACGAGTGCGCTGCCCCTAGCTTCTCTTGGACTTCTCGGTCCACTGCACAGCCGGAAAACCTCGATTGGACCTCGAAATGGAGGGAAAAACCTGACAAGAATATGAACGAAGCAAAATGTTGCACCTTGAGCCGTTCTCCACCCGAAACTCGTGAGCTGAAGAGCAACGCTGTGGGCAAGCAGATGTCGTGGCCCACGAAAGATACCGCAGGGTGCAGCAACAAGCGTTCCCTGGGGTGGAATCAAAAAAGAAACTTTGGCAGAAACAGTGGCTCTTGCAAGTCTGTAGACAGGTCTGCTTTCCTTTCAAAGATGCTGGCGCCGCTAAGCACCCAGTCACCAAGCAGCAAGGAACACTCCACCCTGCCCAACTGCACGTCAAGAACTATTGCACAACGCAGATGCACACGTGACCAACAGTTGTAAAAGCCGAGTTTGCGGCGGCACTGCAAAAGAATGGTGCTGCAAAGAAGCCTGGAACTGCCCATTCTTCGGTCACTTCGGCCGCAACTTGTTTCAATGTCAAGCCGCTGGAGTTTCACAGCAGCCAAAACTTCGACAAAGCACAAAGTGTGTTCGTCAGACAGATTCCCTCCAAACAACCCCACAAAGTTACAACACTTCGCTGCCTAAGACTCAAAAGATCTTTGTCATGCAACCTCTGTCATCCTTCATAAGTCATTGGTCCTCTTCTGAAAACAACCTCATGTCTCATCTTCGCAAATCAAGATGTTGCAGTTTGCTGAAAGTTTTCAAATTTTTAGAGCAATTTACTTTGGCGTGAAAGAATTGCAAAGGGTTCCTTGGAAAAAATGTCCGCATACGCTTCCTTGCGCACCTTGACCTCATTACTGTCCTTGCTCACACGTTATCTTACCAAATTTAATAGCAGCCCCATGAATATTCAACTCAAATGTAATGAGACACAAAGATTTTCTTCAGCGCACCAAAACGCGATGTTGCTCTTCACAGGGATCGTGCGTGTCGGAGCGCTGGCGCTGTGGAAAAACGCGCACTCTAAACGTCAACAGGGATCCTGCGTGTCGGAGCACTAACGCTGTGGGATATGGATCACCGAAAACAGTCGTTTTTCTGCACTTGCGGAAAAACTTGAAACAACCTTCAAATCGAAAGCGAAATCATGCAAGCCTGAGTTGGAGCTGCACAGAGCATTGCACCGGTCCAACAAAAAGCATGCTGTGGAAGGGAACAATTTCTTGTTTTACTTTACCACACCGCCAGCGGTCCGACACGGCAGGACCCCGAATCGCCGCAATCGAGAAGCTCCAAAACTTTTTGAAGGTCCGCAGGCGGACCATGAAACATTCGTATGAATTTCAATCAGCATCAGCTTTCAAATCATAAAACGAGCAGCAGTTTGCAAACGGAGACCCACGAAAAAACCTTCCGCGTGCTAAGTTTGTTCTTCAAGAAAGCAGCAAGCCCGAAGAGCCTTCGCACTGGGCCTTCGCGTCCGGACGGAAGGTCTTGGGAATCAACCTGCCGGACACAGCGAATCTGGTTCTTAGCACATTTGCCATTTGGGCGAATCCCTGCTGAGTGCCAATACGCGAAGGTGCTTAGACGAAACTTTGCAGTGGTTCCATCGGCGGATACCGCACGGTGCCCTCCGTACGTTTGGCAGCCATTTGTCATCGAGGGATTGGCAGCAAGAGACTGCTGCTTTTCTTGCCCTTGGCGGGCTGGCAGACGGGCTCACCTGTAACTTCTTCGGACACCGGCTTTTCCCGGCGTTTTACAGCAAGCGAACGGCCTTTGACCCATTGTCGAATGCTAAGCTGTGGGAGTGGTACAATCTGCGGGATTGGAAGGCCCTCTATGTCTAAAATGATGATCATATGGTCGTTGCCTTATCTAAGCACATGCAACCTTCATGTGGTGACTCTGGCCCAAGGAGCCTGGTGCGATGCACACGGCGCGGTGGCCTGTGGATGCGGTCTCCCACCTCATGAGCCACCATAGTAACCAATGCCTGGGTGTTGAACTTCTGTCCAAACTCGACAACTCGGTACGGACGCGGCTGGCGTTGGCCGACGCGCGCGTTCAAAGGACGACGGAAACAGCGCTGCAGCGCGAGTTCTATTAACATTAACACCGAGTTCGTGCTCTTTTCGCCGACAGAGCTCTGCAAATTGTGTCTGCACCACACAGCTTTTCCCTCTGCCGCAGTGTGGGGCAGCAAGGACAGGTTTCAGTAAGCCAGCCCGATCCAAAATGGGTAATGTCAATGGCCTCTGTGTGCCGGACATGGCTATTCGAGGCCCTTGCCCACTTCCGGGGAATGCTTCTATTCGCACCCAGGGCTGTCCGGTCTGCCATGGACAGACGACACGTACTCAATTTGCATTTGAAACTAACAGAAAGTAACCCGGCCTCTCCCTGCCCCTTCCGCACGTGGCCGCAGTTTGGACAGCTGCCTGCCGCCCTTCGTTCAACATCACCATTTTTTTTTGGCGTGGGCGGGCCTCTGTGACAGCGGCTGCTGCGCTCGGTCCCTACAAGCAAACTAAGAACACGAATCACGAACTCCAATGCAAAGCAGAATAGTTCGAAGCAAAAGCGGTGAAACGGGCTGCGACCTACAGACTTAGCCGGCAAAGTCGTTCAGCAATTAGTTACGCAAACTAGCCTCTCAGATGCCCTGCTTCCCCAAAAGGTCGCGCAATGGCCCAAACATTGCCCCGCTTCCCAAATCATTGGGTCGCGCAATGGAAAAAGGTTCTCGAACACTCTCGCTTCCTGTTTGGGTCCCAAAGGGCGAGCACGTTTGCAGACAAGACCGCAAGCGAAATCGGTGTGCGCGGCTTTGCGACTTATTACGCAAAGCAACATCAGTCGCCGAGCCGAGCTGTTAATCGCGGTTCTCGCGATTCCTTACGTAAGCACGAAGCCGCTGCGCGGACGGTGGTGCCAGAGCACCTTGAGGTTCTCGTGCAAGCCCACTGCCGAGCTGTTGTAGGCACGCAGCACAGAAGGACGATCACGCACGCGCGCCCACGTCCTCAGGCGAAGAGCCCACAGCTTCCCATAGGTGGGTCTCGCAAGGGCCTCAGCGCTTTGAAATACCAAGGCAATAACCTCCCGCGATGCACGAATGCATCGTGAGCCAGGCTGCATCCACCAGCAGGTCCTATGTGTTGCTGGAAGGGCTCTAGAAGGAGTTAGAGATGCCGTCCATCGAATGATGGAGACACGCTGCTGATAACGTGGAATGCGTCACCCCCGTCCACTCCGGCATCTCATCGCTCCTCTAGGCAACTTTTAACCTGGGTGTCTTGGGCAAGAAGACGCATCTCATTTGCATCTGAACACTGGCGTTTTCCATGTGGTCGGATATCGACCGCGGCCTCTTTGGCCTCGCCTATTCTTGCACAGCCCCTGTGCCGCGCTAGGACTCTTGGTAGACAGCATGGCAGCCTTGTCCATTGCCCGCGTCCAATTGGTTGGCGAGAGCCGTTGGTGAAAATCAATCCACAACCGACTTGAGCCATGCCAGATCGGCTGGCATCGATCACGACGAGGTTGCATTGCATGGTCATGGCGGGAGACTGCGTGTTCGTCACAAAAGTAAGGTTGATTGCCCGTAATCTGCGGATTTGCATAACGTTGTGGTGTGGAAGATTGAGGCCCAGCGACAGAGAGAGGCCAAGTGCCGGTGGCGCTTGGCTGCTCAAATGGAGCACCATATCACACGTTGGGGCAGCATCCACGGCCACCTTGGGGTGTTGGCAACAGAGGGATGCAAGGCGCCGTGTGAGTGTGTCCCAGCCGCAGGTCTCGCAAGGCCAGATGTGGGCGGTGAGTCGCAAGTGCACAGCCACGGGGGTGTCGAACTCCTGTTGGGCTTGGCCAAAGCACTCACAACGAACGCAGGCAGCATTCTAATGTGCATGAAGCGGTTTTTCAAATATAGGGCCCAGCTTCCCAGTCGGGTAAGGGCCTTGGTAGCATGAAATCACAAACTGTCCATCCCCTCTTGAAAGGCACGGGCTCGTTTTCGTGTAAAGCCTCCTTCCAAGCCTTCGAAGAAGTCTGGTTTTCGTCTTTTGAAGGCGTTTTATTTAGGATTGTTTTTGAACATTTCTGAACGTTTTCGTGGTTCTCGTATCTGTTGTTTACGTTCGAAGGACGTATCATTTGGTGATTCGCTGCCTACGAGCAAGGTTCTGCAGTTTGAAGAAAAGGTTGGATTTTTTTGGCCATATTGCTCTCTGTGTAGCGGGGCCCACAATCGATTGTCCACACAGGAGCGGATTCAAAATCGAAAGGGTGTTGAGCCTGCAGCCTTGGGCCAAAAACGAAAGATCGACAGGGCTCAGGGGCGCAGGACGCAACGTCGGCCTTTTAGCCCCAAAAGTTTCCTCGCGATCGGAGCTCCACGATTGTCTCTCCCTCACTCGCTCACTCCGCTCTCTCACTCGCTTCGCTCCCGCTCGCTCCGTTCGCTCGTTCGCTCCGCTCGTCCACAATCGCTCCACTCGTCTATTTTGGGGCTGAAAGGCCGAAGAGTTGCGTCCTGTCCTACGCCCTGAGCCCTGTCGATCTTTCGTTTTTGGCCTGACAGGGCTTAACTTTCGATTTTGAATCAGCTCCTATCTATCGATTGGGCGGAGACCCCGCTGCACAAGAGAGAGGCCGCAGCTTTGTTGCAGTTTCAGG